AATTTCAATGAAAAAACATTACAAAAACAAAATCGTGTCTTAAATTTAAAAATAAAAATTTTGAAATAAAAAAACAAAGGGAAAAGAAAGAAAATACCAAATGAAATTTAATTTTAATTTAATTATGTATTATTTATAAACAAAAAAAAGAGACAGAAAAAACAAACGGAAACAGTTTTAATAATATTTTTTTAACGAGAATATAAAATTTATCTAGATGAAAAGTTAAGTTAAGAGAAAAGTAAATCCTCGTTTTCTCTCTTTCTATCTTTCGTCACGAGGTGCAACCGTAACTGTGTTCGATGAACGACTGGAAGTGGGATGTGTACGGCCTCATCAAGGTGGAGAACCAACTCGTAGTAGCTGCAACATTCCCTTCCCCTTATTTCTATATACCGAGCCAGTGGCTCAAGGCCAGCCAGGTAGCCACCCTCTCCGGGTGTGGCTTCAACTGGAATTAGGTTCGATATACCACCGAGAACGATACATGCAAATTTGTAATATCAATATTTTTCGTCCTCGAGTCCATCTATTAATCGCTAACGCAGTACATATACATATTGATACATATATACATGTATACATACATACATATCTCTCTTATAATCTGCTAACATTTTTCGTTTTTTTTTTTTTTATCGATTAAGAGATTAGATATAATTTATAGATAGTATAATTAATTACCTGTATAAATATATATTTAGATATATATTTGATATGAATTTATGACAAATTCATTTTTTTTTTATGTTCGATCGATATTTTCTTAGAATTTTATTTTACCTTTTTTGTGAACCATATTAGGTTTATTTTAATTTATGTCAATATTTTTTGTTTGTTTAAAGACTTATTTGTCATCAATTTTTGTGCAACGATTTTGGTAACAAGCAGTAGAAAATATTTGATCAAACATTAACCTGTGAATAAATTGTAAATTAACAGCATGTGCCGCAGTTCTTAATTTTGAAATGTATATGTGTGTGTGTGTGTTGTTACACACATAATTACAATAAAACGGTCATGCTATATTTTGTCGCATAATGACGCATGCGCGATAGAATTGAATGGACATGTAATAATGTTCTAACAAGAAACTCTTCCATAGAGATTTATGTTTCAGGAAATTGGGTGGAAAACGGAAATATATCTGGGTAAGTATGTACAAGAAAAAAAACATTGAACGAGTAATTTTACGAGAATATTATCGTATGAATAAATTATTTTAAAATTGCTGCAATTTATTTTTATGTAAAATATGTAAAATAATTGAAGTTGAATATTATATTTAAAAAAATTGTGTTAATATATGTTGATCATGGCGACATTATCGGAAAAAAGATAGTATGACAAGTAATCATTTTCCGGAGACATCAATGCCTGATATGTAACGATTTAAAGCCAATGTTGAATCTACGATCGAGTAGACAGTGGATTACAAGTACTTAGGTAATTTTTATTTTATTTTAATTACTATTTTCTAAGAGACTTCTTAAATTTATAATTAGACTTACACAGTTTTACGAGTTGAATTTGTAATTTTTCAATATGAACAACAAAAATTAACCTAAATAATTTGCATAAAGGATAAGAAATTTTTAAAATTACCTAAACATTTCTAGTCCACTTTGTATATTGTATAATTCTATAAAAAATATTCGTGAAATTTCTAAAACATAATTATATACTTATATCATATGTATATATATATATATATATATGTGTTAAAAGAAATTATTACAAAGCATGTGACGACATAGAGAAATTGAAACTAAATCGATAGATATTAAAACAATGGAAGAACTGTTAAATCTGATCGTAGTACAGTAACAGGCAAAGTGCCTCCTACGTATTGATCCCTTGCGTTGACCAACGGTCAATGAGATACCGTCCTCTCCTACCCTACTCAAGAACCTGAGTTGCCTACTTCTTGGGAGTTCCTTTTCTTCAAAGAAAAAAAAGAGTAAAATGTTTAATTACTATTACTAACCATTAATCATAATAACAATCATAATGTTGTTTTCCAAAAATGGGTTAAAAGTATTGCATATACCTGTAAATATAATTGTGATTTATTTTATTGATCAATTTATTAGGATTTATAAATCTATAACGATCGTTCCAATTTAATATTTCATTATGAAGGTAAAACTTTTTTTTTTTATAAATAATTGGAAATTATTTTATTATTTGGTTATTTTATTACTTGATTATTTTTGGGTCTATATAGATCTACAGTGATTAATATATTGAATCAAATAAAAATTGAATTTTAATTAAATATTAATTATAAGTGTAACTTTTGTTTTTAAAAATAATTAAAATTTTTGCATTTTTTTATTTATTTTATATATGTTTTGATTTACAGATCTTTACTGATAAATTTTCAATGATACTAATAAAATATTAATGATCAGTTTTAAGTATAAAGTTTCTATCAAAGGATAAAAAAAAAAACGGCACGATGACGTTTATCCTAGGATATTACCCCAGTGAATACAACAGTACGAAAGAAGGATTGAAAAGAAAAAGGGTGGAACAGAAAAAGAAACTTGCTGCGCATGCTCGTCAACTCTTAGCCAATCATGTACACTTTCTCCTTCCGGTAGGGGATTACAACCCACCTTTCGATCTCAGCATACTACTGATGTAAGTGTATAACTTCCTAATACACCCTCCCACCCCACCCCACCTATACGACACAGATTTACTTTCTTACGTGTAACTACGAGTTTCTCATTTTACCACGTGCATTTAACAAGTAATTATTAGATATATATTGAGGTGAATGTTAAATACATACTATAAAATACTTTCATTATACTTTGCAATATTATTATATATTTTAATTTCTATCATAGAATAGTAATATTTAATCAACCTAGAACTTAGGAAAGTATTTTTATAATAATACGTCGATAATATTTTTGTTCAAGTTCTTGTTTAAATGTTCATTTTCATAAAGATAATTAATTAAAACACACCTTAAATTTTTAGGGGGATAGGGTCGATTCTGATTCAGCGGAAATTGAATGTTCTTAATGATCACCTTTCTTCCGAAATAATGCCTATCTAATTTGAGATATATCTACTTAGATTGGTATTGTCGATCTACTTATTGTTAGATTGATATTTTCTCAAATCATGAAACATCTATCTACCTACCTACACGGTTAGACGATTAACCTAATTTTTACTATTTCACCCTAATTGCATATACCTATACTGTTACGCGATTATTGGTTCCATTCAGATGAAGAAACTTGGTTAAGGATACATTATGGAAATCTCGGTGTGGCAGTTTTATGAGTAAGTAAATAAATAGGTCACAAGGTTGTAAAAAAAAAAAAAGGTAAAGCTTTTCTCACCCCCGACAATTCCAACACATCTAGAATTATGGATCTTTTAACGTCTAATCTCATCGACTGTTTTTCGATCGAATGCAATCGGCATGCAAAGTCCACGTTGAAAAGTGCTGAACAATGCTTGCTAAAAGTTCTCTTTTTGTGGGCTACTTAAACGGATTAAGGTTTGACCTGACTGATATAAACACGTATACTACACACGAATGAAAGCGAGAGAGAGAGAGAGAGAGAGAGAGAGATAGAATGAGAAAGAAACTCCTACATTTATGTCGATTGAACTGTTGGATCATATACGTTTTGACTGTGGATTGTGAGAAACAGTAACGATCTACGATATACAATCGAGCGTGTCCTAGTCACACCTTAAAAAGACTAGGATATAGGATAGATACTCTACCTATTCTTGACTAAATCATCTCCTTTCACACCCATGTAAACATAACGAATGCTATCTAATAGTTATTGACGGATAGATAGACAAGTGAGATTAAAAAAAAACCTTGAATTATAACTTGCCCTAATTCGATTAAATTTAAATATATATAGGTAAAGAATAAATTATCTTTTTTATCTTACTCTTATTCATCTTATTAAATCTGCAAATTGATTGTTAAACTCTATATAAATGTATATACTTATATAGATATATATTTGTATGTATGTATATGTATAAAAAGTGTTAAGTAGATATTATGATTACGTGTTATAAGCAACGATTACGCAAACATCATAGTCATATAACATGGCTTATGAATATTCAAGCATTACGTATCCGATTTAGTTTTAATAACTATGAATATTTCATTTTCATCTTTTAATCGAGTCCTTAAGCTACGTATGGGCTCATTTTTTATCGCCCAAATAACGATACCGTTCCTTTTCTCGAGGTCATTGTCTGAATTAGAACTAGATCTGATATGATCTGTATACACGCGATCTTGCGTATCCGGAATCTTTCTCTCTTTCTATATCGCGTTTAAGTATTACGATAACGATTCATTTTTACAAGTGAAAATGAAGAAAGAAACAGGTCATCAGGTCTTCTTTTTTTCATGTATTTTATTATGCACGAAAATGTGCGAGCGACGATTTAAAAATTTTTATTTTTTAATAGAAGTCTTATTAGAGGATTGGGGGTGTGATCACAAATCAAAGGACCACACCCAAAACAATTAGTTAACTTACTGCGTAGAATTGTAAAACAAGTATTTCCTTTTTTTTTTGAAACTTTACTGACCTTGAACGTTTTGTAACTGGAGACAACATAAGAGGCGCCATCTTCTAATTCATCCAAATTAATTTTCCGATCGCCGTCCATCGAGAATATATACCGTGCACCCCTTGGTAAATCCAAACGGAGAGATAATCTATCCAATAGGGCTTCCAGAGAACCGATATCTCGCCTTGGTTTGAATCTGCATAATAACACCATTAATATGATTAATTATTGCATAAGTGACATCTCTTAAATCGTTTAATATTGAACAGAGGGTAAAATTAAAAAGTAATGTTAATGGATTAGACAAGATAGTGAAAGTCAATAATGGACCAATTAATAGAGTAGAATATGATCAAGTTTACAGACACATGTTTGTATCCTTGAAATGTCAGGCAGAAGGGTTCATTCATAGATGTGATTCAAGGTCGCAAAGGTGGATGCGCCACCTGCGGCTCATAGTAGAATCTTTTCGTAAATAAATAGTAGAAAAAAAATCACGCATAGATAAGTAAAAGGGAGAGAGAGGGAGAGAGAGAGAGGAAGATAGATAATTAGATTAAATAAAGGATAAGAAAAGAAAAAATGAATAAAATGAAAAAGTCACATACCTGAATTCAACCCCAGGGAAATAAGGATCGCCATTTTTGTAAAAAGTAACACGCCTGGCTCTCCAATAACCAAGATTGTTATATCTTGCTAAAGCCGGATCGTGTCGGCTCTTTGGCCTCTGCTCCCGCTGCTCTGGAGGCGGCATGCGGGGACTGGAGGGTCTGCTTTGCCTCCAGAAGCCACCCATGCCGCCTCCACCCCCACTTTCGCCTAACGAAAGACCACCAACGCCAGCGGTCTTCTGCGCCGCGAAATCTCCACCCTTCCCGTTACCGTTCTTCTGCTGTTGCTGCTGCTTTTCTCTTTCCTCTTCCTCCTCGTCACCCCTTTCACTCTCCTCATCCTCCTCCTCTTCCTCTTCCTCCACCTCTTCCTCTTCATCCTCTTCTTCCTCGTTCACCATCCCCTCTATTTCTACCACTTGATTCTCATTTTCCATTTTGCTACCACCACCTCCTCCACCTACGCCACCTCCGCCACCTTCTTCGACTTCGTCTTCGTCGCTGCAAGCGCCTCCATCTGGCATCTTCGACGACGACATCGTCTTCGTCGTCATCGTCGTCGTCGTCGTAGTCGTAGTTGTTGTAGACGTTGTCGTTGTCGGTGTACGATTCGCACCAGCAGGTGCCGCTACTGATATCACTACTGATTCATCCAAGTCCGTTGTGTCCTGTTGTTCCTCCTTTCTCATCCCGTTTTTCTCATTAAATTTAATAGAAAAACTTTTCAACTTTTCTTCTTACACGATTTGTTGGTTTTCTTTCGAAATTATTACTAAATTTTGTATTATATATATATATGTATACATGAACATATATACGTATGCAATATTTGTGAAAATATTATTAGGTTCTTGAACTGAAGTTTAAACTTGAGTGTTCTTTTGCTTTCTGGATATTGTTATAGAACACTGAACTATTCAGGACCTTAGGCTGTTTTTTACACGCAAAATTATTATGAATAAATAATTAAATTATATTATGAATTGAATATAGTGATGTGTTCATTTTCACTGGCATAGTTTCAAAATTATATCCAATTTTTGTGTTGTGTCATTTTCATCATTTAATACATATATAAATGATATTCAGTTAAAAACAATTAATTAATTATCATTTGTCCTACCTGATTTAAAACTTGTGCATTTGTATCGTCGTTAGTTAAGCACCTTACTAGTTCACCCTTTTTTACCCTTCGGCCGGCTCTACTTCCTTGACTATTTCCTTGTATCGCTGTGAACTAAAGTTGACACGCGAACCCGACTGATTACAAGCTGCGATCATACGTATGTACAAGGACATCGGCCTATACACCTTTCTTTTCCTAAAATATTCTACTTCTTTTCTTTTTGCACAATCTTATTGACAAATAAAAATTTATATATTACCAACGTGTCAACAATAATTCAAACAAAAATACACACTATTGTATTGAAATTATTCCGAAAATATTTATGTAAAATAAGAAGATAAAAAATTCCCAAAAAAAATTCCATTTTACATCGTGTAACACACTTGATATATTAACATCATCTTAATCACACGCACCTCGTATCATCACGTAGACGTTAATTCACACTTTTAAAAAGAATTAATTAAAAATAAGAATATATTATTCGTGATCACTGGGAAAGGCAAAGTAAGAAATGAAAAAACAAATAATAATAAAAGATGAAAGAGTTGATCGTTAACATCATAAATTAAATTGTACGCGACGTAGGTCACACTCGTAGGTATCTGAGGTCAATGACCTTTATGATCTTTCGCACGAAACTCACTACATCCGGTGACACGCACTTTTATATGTGTATCTTTTATTTCTGTCTTTCTCTTTTTGTTTTGCATTATTTTTCTTCGTTAGATAAATGTAACAGAATGTGGGATGATAGAAAAAGAAAAAAAAAATATTGTAGTAAAAAAATTAATGATTTATATATATATATATTGTCTTTTTGAAATCAACACGTGAATGTGAATCGACGTATGCGAAAATCTATCGAGATTGTTAATTCATTCAAATGCAAAATAATAGCGGATAACGGTACGAAGGTATACATATTCATGCGTCCTTCGACGATGCCGTCTCGACTCGAAGTGCGTCGCCCTGAGGAGGATCGCGTTCTATGCCTCCTTCACCGCGACGTTGCCTTTACGATCCTCCTGCGCTGACCGGTGATCACCTTTTCCCCTTTTCACTTCTTTATATTCATGTGTGTGTGTACGTGTACCTCCTTGGTATATATATATGTGTGCATATATTTCTATCAAATTTCTAATCAAAATATGAATTATTGATAATTTTGTTATTTATTTTCTATAATTAAAGAAAAATTTCCAAATTTTAATTTTATCTTTAATTATCTCGATTATTTATAGAATTTTGTACAAGAAAATGAATTAGTGATAAGCTTATCGTATAGTTTTCATATTAAAATAGCTTTGGTAATTTGAATTTTAATCTAGAATTTTCATAAATATTCTTAGAATTATTTATCTGCATTAAGTATATATATATATATATATATACATAATTTTGTTATGTATATAATATATTTACTTATACCTATTTTGTGATACAAAATTTCTTTAAAATGAATTCATTGAATAAAGACATACTTGCTGTATAGCTATGATTTTATAAAATTTAGAGAAATCAATTTTTCATTTAGAATTATATATACCTTCGATGTTTTTATCATTTTTACTATTATTATTTTGTTACTTTTGATACTTTTAATTCTTAAGTTTAATTTAAGGAAAATAGAAAGAAAAGTGTTTTTATTTAATTTTATATATATATAAATATTTCGAGTTTTAAGGGTATTTTGGTTTGATCGTAAGGGTGTAAGTTGCTCACACCTTAGTTCATTCTTTTTCCCTACAACTAAAGTAAAGAGTTATTGATCGATGGAAATTTGCTTAAGAAATATATAGTAAATTTGTCGTTTTATCGACTATTTAAATTTATGTTACAATAATAAAAAATAAAAGTTGATCGTTATCCATTATGGTATGTATCAATATTCATAATGGAAAACAAAAAAGAAATATATATGAAGTTTTAACAAAAATGTTAGATGTTTGATAATGAAATATCTCTTTGAAATAATGAAATAATTTTTTCCGAGATCGAGAATAACAAATCTTATACTATTGTTCGATTTATTAAATAAAACAGTACAATTTATATATATATGTGGGTGGAAATATTTATTTTCCTTTTTTTTCTTTTTTTTTTGTTTGTTTGTAATTTTTCTTCGCATTCGAAACGTCACAGTCAGAGATTTATTGTACATATTGCGGGTCATTTTACCTTCGTACTCGCAGAAGTGAACACCTGCCTTGCGTGTCAGACATCCAGAATGGGCTGATCAGATTCGTTCTTCTACCACTTAACTATACCCCCTTCGAGAGTATACTACTTAAATCGGGTTTATCTAAAAATCTCAGTAGAGTTGAAAGAAACGGTATAAATGGTATTTTGTTATAAGATTAAACAAGATTTATCGATCGGTCACGAATAACACGTTCTACTTCTTTACTTCACTTCAATATTTATTTTACTTACATCACATAATATACGCGCGAGAATTGTATAAAATTAATACAATATTTATATAATTCTAATTAATTTATAAAATATGTATGTAAATGTGTTGGAAAAATATCTAGTCTCGAATGGATTACTTATTTTAAAAATAATAATTTTGGTTAGTAACAAATTGGTCGTTTGTTGTTTTCTTTTTTCTAGTTTGTTTTACTGCCAATTTTCTTAAATCATATAGTATTTGATTTCGAAAATAATTACGAAAATATTGATTAGAAAATAAACTTGATTTGAAAAAATAAGAAATGAAATATACTACTTATTTATTTCTTTTATATTTTTATCGTTAATTTTTAGTATACGTTACTATTATTATTTTTAGTAGGTTTAACGTTTATATATATATATATATTATTTTGTTTTCTACATTGACGAAGCATAGATATAATAATTCATAGTATCTGTTATTTATTAAAGAATCTTTTGATGTATAATTAATTTTATATTAATTAGAGTGTTAAATTTCTGTATAATTATATTATTATAGAATTAATATATTATAGATTAATATAGAGATTTGATAAAAATAAATAGAGAATTCAATTGAAAAGTGCATCTGCGAATGGAACGATTTATATGTCAGGCTATTGTATCACTTGATTGTATGATTAAATATAGTTTTATTTTTGTTACAAGTGATCATCGTTGGATTTATCATCTACTCGTTTTGATTTTCTTTTACTTTTTAAAATATATATGTATAAAAAACGCATTTCTGAAGGCACACACGTATTTAAACACTAAAAATGAAATATATTTATTTTACATTTTCTTACAATATAACTATTCTATATATACTATCAAAGAATATTGTATAGTATTGTATTTTTTGATAGTATTGTACTATCATCGCGTTAAATACATACTATCGCCCACTGGAGGTCGCGGTAGTAACTAAGATGAATCTGACTAGGAAAAAAAGTGGACTAGTGAACTTCTACGTACTTCTGTATTCCTTGTCGATATAGTTACCATTATAAAATTTTCCTTACCATAAGATGATACGACTAATATGGTAAGACATTTGTATATCGAATTTAACGTTCAAATCAGAAAAACAATTTGTAATATAGATGACGTTAATCGTATAAAAATTTTCTAACGTTCCTGATAATAATTTAAAACGATAGAATAGCGCAATGTGCGTGTTCACATTATTTCGTAATCAACAATGGTACGCATTCGAATTAAACGAAGTGAAAGATTCATTTCACTTTTTAAACGAAAGTATTTTTTCATTAGAAAAATTCTTTATTCTGCACGTTATAAAAAAAAATAATAATAACATTTGAATTACTAAAATTAAATGAAATAAAAGAAACTGTATAAATTGTTAAATTCATATTATCCTGATTACTAACATATATGTATAAATAATAATTTAACTACATCAAAAAAATGTTAAATTATTAACGTTAGAAAATATAAAACAAATATGTAGGTATATATAATACGTAACACGTTTATGGTACTATGGTGTAACGACATGCTCTATTTTTTAAATTAGTCATAAATTAAATTATAAGTTATAAAGATCGATACATTTTCTTTATATTTTACAACTGAGAAAAAAGTTTATCGTTTTAAACGAATATGAAATAAAGTTAAGCGTGAGAGAGTTAATCTAATCTAATTTCCTGCTTTGCGATGCGCTTTATTTTTCGTCAATTACGTCACGACGTTCAAAGTAAGTAGGTGAGAGCCCATGATGGTAGAGACGCGCCATGACAAGATGCTACCGAGTGAAAGCATGGGTCAGCGTAAAGGCCAGCTGGCAGCATTCTAACTCAATATAGCCATACAAAACACCCATATATATATATATATATATATACATAACTAACACATAGAGACAATCACTTATTTATACAGGTTATGCACTTAACGTATATACAGATATATATATAGATATATATATATAATTAATGTATTCCGCACGAAAAATATACGAGAGCACGGAAGTCGATTGAGAATCTGACCTAAGCAACTTGTGTATTTTTAATGTTATAGAAGTAACTAAGCAAGTTAGTTCGCTTAATGTTTGATAATATAGGCGATATATACGAAGTAAATATTATTTTACGCGACAGGAGTGATTAAATATTGAATTAACGAGAAGATGGTAATTTTCGTACGTTAGCTTAACGATTTCGATGTGCAAACAATATTTGTTTTTTTATATTAATATCTATCAATATTTCAGCACTTAAATACTGTTCATGTTATATTCGATTTGACGGGTTGTAAACTTTTCCTGGTATACTAGAAAGATATTTAAAAAAGGTTTAGTGAGATGGATACGATCATATATATATATATATATATCTTTTGTAATCACACATTACGTTTATTACAAACACATTTAAGCGTGGAACTTACAAAATAAGGTAAAAGCGAGTCATTATACCATATAGTGGAGCAGCGAAGATAGAAGAAGAAGGTATAGAAGAGTTGTAACGCTACAGCAAGCAACTGTATGTCTGTCTGGTTGCTTGCCTTCCTTCAGTCGTGAGAAACTTTTGCTTCGAAGAAATCTTCATCTTCTCGAAACTTCTTTCAACATTTGTTAATAAGAAAAAAAGAAAATAGAAAGATTGATATAGAAAAAGATAAAACACAATCATAAGATCTCGAATTTATATTTTGAGATTACGATCTAAATAGTTATTAAAAATGGTATAACAAATCGTTTAATTATTTAGAGTTATTAGGTTTAAAATATAATTCATATATAATCATAATCATAATAATATTAAGACAATAATTTACAAATCAAGTATATATACATCCGACTAATTACTATAAAGCATCTTTCTCTTATTTGTTAATTTCAACATCCGCGTGTGGAAAAAAAATATCTACGCGCTTTCTCATTCAAAACGCGGACGATATATAAGTGGACATATATAACATACTTGTATATATATTTATATATATATATATATATATATATTTATTTATTATATGTATAGAAATGTATACAAGGTAACCCTTGGATAAAGTCCGAACGAACGAATGGCGTCCCGGTTTTTGAAGGAGGCCGCTGGTTAACCTTTCGAAAGTGTTTTTTTTCTCTCTGTCCCTCTGTTACGCTCTTCCTCATTTTAGTCGTAAAAAAGGAAGGTTCCTGTGAAAGTTGCCTTCTGGCTACCAAACGTTTCCTCCTCCCTCTACCTCTTCTTTATCTTCTTTCTCTTTCTCTTTGTTTCTTTCTCTCGCACACACGTACATCGCATCTTCCTATCGAGGTGCTTCGATATATGTACTTACATATTTACGATGTGAGTATCGTGTTCAATGTGTTTACCTCTTTCCCTTCCACCATCAATTCTTTCTGTCTTTTTTTTTCGACGACGATGTATATACATATACAATATATATATATATATAAAAATACATTTGTGATGTGAGAGAGATACGAAAAGATGCTTATTTCAGTATGCGAGATTCCTTTTTCCCTCTGATTCGTTTTCTCCCCACTAACATTAAGATAGCATGTCAATGAGCGGTCGCTTTCGCTGGCGCATCGTTCGTAAAGACGCCACCATACCTTCTAGATGACTTACGTGATCTATCTTGCAATTCCATAGATCGAAATTTTATATCGAATACATATTTTTTTTATATTTTAAATTAATATCTTTGAACATTTATAGTATATATATATGCTTATGGATATTTATATAATATAGACATGCATCTTGTGTGTGTCTGTGTGTGTAATTATTTTCAAGATGGTTAGAAATATTTGTGTATTTGTTTCTCTTGAATATATAATGTGTATGTTATTTTGTTGATAATTATTGAAATATATTATATGTATTTGTTATATTATTGTTCCTCTTTTTCCATGCACTATATTCGATAAGTATTTTTTTTTTAAATTATGTGAAGATTTCATTTATATTTGCAATTAATGCAAGTAAAAAATAATACAGACTTGTAGTTATATATGCACATACAATTGTTATTTCTCATGATCAAGCGGTAATTTTCAAAGCATATATAAGTAAGAAGAATAATATGTGTGTGTGTATGTGTGTGTGTGAAAGATATAGAGATAGAATCATCTCGAACAAAGGCGAGCAGTGAAAGTGTGCTCCTTCTGGACTGCTTAAGCGTCTTTTGGGAAGACGATGGTGAGAATTTCCGTGCGTATATATTCTCGTATAATATATAGGTATATACAATTCATGTATTTATACTCTACGTTTATATACAATACGGAAGTTCGTTTAAAATTCTCACTAACCTATCACCTTCCTGCATAAATTATAGGATATCTCAAAATTATTTATACATATACTTAAATATATATGTTTATAAACATAAAATGTACCGTAAATTAATGGCGGAGTTCAAATTATGATTTAAGAATATAGATAATCTTTCTCTTTCCTTCTCCTCCTTTCTTCTTATCCTAATGATACAAATGATAAGGAAAAAAGAGAAAAGGTTATAGGGGGTAGACGGATAAATAATCATTATAGTCAGGGTAATTTATGTAAAAATACATAAAAAAGCTTTATTTCGCCACCGTTTTCTTGCAAAAAATAAGTATAAAAAACTCCTCGTAATCGTCGTCAGTATCATCATCATTATCATCATTATCATGATCGTTTTCATCGTCATCATCATCATCGTCGTCGTCGTCGTCATCATTATCTTCGTCGTCATTTTTATCAACATCATCATCATCATCATCATCATCGGCAGCAGCAACAGCAGCGAATGCTGCTGCAGCAATAGCAGCAGCAATGGCAGCAGCAGCGGCGGCGTCGTCGTCTTTATCGTCATCATCATCGTCGTCGTCGTCGTTGTTGTTGTTGTTGTTGTTGTTGTTGATGTTGCATCATTGGCTATCATAGTATTCGTCGTCGTCATCATCACCATCAACATCGCGATCGTCATTATTATTATAAACGTTATGTTCGTATATTCGCGCGCATCTAAGAACATTATTATTATCGTATCGTCGTCGTGATGAGGATCGGCGCTCGTCGAATTACGCTCGTAATAAGAACTAAGCGTGGTGGGTGTAAAAATGATTTGGTGAATGGAGAAGAGAGTTAGGGCCGGTTCGGCTGTCTTGTGACTAGTATGGGCCGGATCCTCCAGGTGGTCCGTAATTCGAGCTTGGTCCGCTTGGTCCGGTACCAACGATACCTCCCCCGATTCCACCACCTCCTGATCCGCCGTGTCCGTCACCGATACCACCTCCGATACCACCTCCGATACCACCTCCGATACCACCACCAATACCACCACCGATGCCGCCACCGATGCCACCACCGATTCCACCACCGATTCCTCCACCACCACCACCACCACCTCCAGATGTAACTTCCTTCTGCAAAAAAGAAAAAGAAATTTGTGATTGAATCGATTATATTAATCTTAATTTGATCTCTCTTTGAATTATTTCATATACGTACCTGAGTTTTGTACTTGATGAAGTAAACTTCCGGTTTGCTTGGTTGCGTAGGAGCAATAGTAGGTAGACTGATTTCTGGTGCCTCTTCTGGTTTCTTGACAAGGACGTAGATAAGTGTCTTTTGTTCATCTTGTTGTGGTAATGCTGGGATGACCGGTGCAGTTGGCGTAGGTGGAGTTGGTGCCTTGATGAAAATGATCTTGTAATGTTTCTGAGGTGGCGGGGGTGGTGCTATTGGCCTCGCTGGTCTATCCTCGGGTGCCTCAGGTGGTGGTACGTGAACGTAGATGTGCTTCTGGATAAGGGAACCTCCACCGAAGCCACCGCCGCCACCGCCGCCGCCACCACCACCACCAAATCCAGATCCGCCACCGAATCCACCTCCAAGACCACCTCCGAAACCACCTCCTAGTCCTCCTCCTAGTCCGCCTCCAAGACCGCCTCCTCCTAATCCTCCTAATCCACCCAATCCTCCTAATCCTCCTCCAAAACCACCGCCACCGCCACCACCCCCACCGCTAGGGGCACCATAACTTCCGCTTGGTGGACTGTACGAGTAGCCGGCTTCTGGCCGTGCCATCGCCACGGCGGCGATCGTCAGGATCTGAAATTCCACATTGAGGATTCACTCTCGAGACCCTTTCTCTTCTCGAAAATCGTTTCTATCGATTACACGCGCTCGACCACGGAGTGAAAGTGGCTAACTAACGTTATATATTCAATACACTCCAACGTGAAACTCCGAGAGTATCTTCTTGACTTATTTTTATTTTTATTTTTCCTTGTTTTTTTTTTTTTTTTTTTTTTTCTTTTTTTTTTCTTCCACGAATTTACTCTCCATTCTCCCACTTTCTTTTTTTTTTTTTTTTTATAAATTTCACCGTTCCTTCGAAAGCTTTTATATCAAAATGCATTTTAAACTATAAACACGTGCACGAAAAATGTAAAATCTTTTTCCTCGCAGTGAAATTCTCAAAGGTAAGTTGTTACATAAAAACGAGTATTACGTGTTTCTTCTAACTCTCTTTAAGATTTCAACAACGTACCGAATTAAAATGTGTTTCTCTATTTGTCCCGCGCTTTCGAAAAAAAAGGAAAAAAAAAAAAGAAGAACATTCTCGAAACGTAATCGAGAAAGCCTATAAAAGTATTACTTTCTTGCATATATATATATATACACGAAGAATTTTCACGAAGATTCTTCTATTTTTTAAAGATAAAAACAAAAAAAAGAAAAACATTTATATCAAATAAGATTATTATGATTTGTTAACATCGCGTAATTGGATAAAGATGGCCGACATGAAAAATTTGAAGAATACTCTTGTTTCTCTTTCTATAAATCCATTTAGATTGTAGGTCGATGACCCCGTCATTTCTCTTCGATAAAAAAAAAAAAACAAAAAAAAAGAAGGATAGTTTAACTTCACGAGATGAGTGAATGGAATGATACTTTTCGATTTCTCATTCATATCCATAGACAGACATATTCTTGGTAATTTTATTTCTTTGAATAAAAAGAAAAATAAGTTAAGAGGGAGAGAGAAATAAAAAAAAAAAAAGAAATTTCGAAAGGAAAGCACTCGGTGAGATTCTCAGATTCTTCGTTAAATAATCGAATAAACCGAATTAGTTCCGAATAATGGAACCGAATGATAGATGTTACGTGATGGAAAAATTAAATGTAAGAGAGAGAAAAAAAAGAGAGTGATAGATAGAGAGAGCAGGAAGTTGAGGATGGTAACTACTCACCATGAATGCCCTCATGATTGCTGCTGTTCCTTGATATGAGGACTGATGCTCCGTGGTTGTCTTGAGATCCCCTTTTATACGGGCCAGCTTGGACCCCACTCGTGTTGGGAACCATCACCTATGAGATGCGACGGAGCTATTGCGAATCTCTCTTTCTCTTTTTCTCTCTCTCTCTTTCTCTCTATCTCTTTCTCTTTCTCTTTTTCTCTCTTTCTGTTTCTTTCCTTGTCGTTTGCTGCCCCTTTCTCTTCCTCTTTCTTCGCAACTTTTCGCAACGTAAACTTACTTCCGATTTAAATTCATCATACTTCCGGTGAATAAATTACTCATTAAACGAGTTTGATATCCTGGTAAATACGTTTGCTTTTATCTATCCATTAACTGATAACATTTTTCTTATTTATTTCATTTTATGTTATTTTCTTTTTGAAGGTGTTATTTTCTTTTTGAAGGTGTTATTTTTCTTTTCTTTTTTTTTTTTTTTTTTTAAATAGAAGTAAGTTTCTTTCTCTCATTGAATTGCACAATTTCTCGATAGTACCATCAAAGACATTGCTTAATTTAGAAAAGATTTCAAAATTCAAGACACTCTTCAATACGTGTGTTTAGAAATGTTTATAAATTATATATATATTTATTTCATCAATATATTTACAGAGAAATCAAATCTTAATTATAATATATACATATTTTGGGAATCTTCTCTCTCTTCTTTTTATTTTTAAGAATAGGTTTTCCCATATTTTTTGCCATAGTGAATAATATATATAGTAAATAGATAGATAGATTTATTTATTTATTTTGTTGGTCCAGTAAATGGACTTTTGGTTTTACAAATTAAATTAATTAATATAAATTTCATGTATATGTATACAATATTAAATTTAATTAAAAAATAATTATTAACACAGTAACGTCCATAGAAGTCTTATTTCCAATCTTAGTTACTCAATGCAATGATCGAAATAACTAACATTTTTCTAGTTTTATCGAGTTCAATTCAAATAAAGTGGACGTAGCAGGAAGATACTGGTAACTGGAGACACAGGTAACAGAACGTTTCTTCAACGAAGCATGAAAACGTTGTTAACCAAGTCAAGATAGCTTAGTAAGTACCTGTTACATCAGTGATTTCAATAAAATAAAGGAATAAGTAAATAAAAAGAAAAATTAATCACACATACTTCCTCGTAATAATAATTACTTATAATTATTATTGTATGTTGTTGTTGTTGTTTTTTTTTTTCTTTAACTCTCGACTAGATAGATAGATAAATAAATAGATAAATAGATGGATAGACGGTATTACGACGTTCATAGCATTCTCAGTGGCAAAAGTGGATCACCAGTCACGTTGCGTTTTCTTATGGCAGTAAGTTGCTGCGGCCGAGCAGCAGCGAAACGTTAACCTTGCCCGGTGATAGTGTACCAAGGCACGTCACTCATACAAACATATTACTCTGTGTGTTTTAAAGAGGAAGAGAACGGAAGGGATATTTTGTTCTTTCTTTCGTTCTTTCGTTAGATCGTTTTCTGGAGACGACGCTACCGCTAGCAACTAACTCTCATCGCAGTGTAGTCACGATTGCGAAATAGAGAGTATTCATCGGACAGCGTCTTGGATGCTCTCCACGTGAGAGGGAGAGAACGGACTCTCCAATTTCATTTGTCCCGAATATTAATGCCATCTCTTATATATTTCTGCCGAACACACAAATAAACAAAAAAAAAACTTATATTTTATAGTATAAATAATTGTAATATATAAAATATATTATAAAATCAATTGTAAAAATTATCTTTACTTATAATTAATACATAATCATAATTATTGATACATATTTATGTGTGTGTGTGTTTGTATAGAATATTAGAAATATAAGAAAATAATATAGAATATAAAAAATATAACTATATAAAACTGATCAAATAGCCAATTTTTAACAAAAGTTATATTTTCTTATCAATTAATCCAAATAATACTACGATAATTTGATACTAACGTAAATAATAAATAACATTATTTTTATATGATTATAATAAAATAATACGAATAATTTGTTATAAAATGAAGTGAAGATAAAACAATAACATTAAATGCAAAATTGTAATTCATAATTTTAAATCGATCATTTAACTGATCGTACGTTCAGTATTCAAACAGCTATCCAATATTTTGTCCAAAAATATATTTATGCTATTTTATAAAGATTTTTATTTTTTCAATATTATCTAATGTAAAATCTATAAAATAATTGGTCAAGTTGACTATTTTTCTCTCGTGTTTATTTTATGCATGTACGTAAATATTTCACTTTCATCGAATAAATGATCTTTATTTCGTATTACTCTCAAGAGAGTATACATTTAAATATCTTTTTTTAATAATTTATAATTTTCCGTATATATAACTAATATTAATTGCTCTTGTTTTTTTTTTAAATGTCTCCTTTTATTACATTCATTAAAATGCTTGCACTCAATGGAGCTTTTCGTTCTATACTAAAATAAAAAAACATCTACATTTTGTAATTATTTTCATTTATTTTAATTTTCAAGTTAATCTCTTTCTTTTTATGTATATATATATATATATATATATATATATATGTATGTATATTATTATTATTATTATGTACATTAATTATATATGAATTTATAGAATAACATAGTTTCTAAAAATACAATTCACGACATCTATATTTTAAAGTCGATAAAGTATCGATCATTCACTGCAAAACACTGTCGGTAAGAAAAATTGTTAACTTATCTTTGGAAAATCCTTCGATTAATACACATCATTCACGCCATCTAATGATTGTTTCGGGTTTACTGTATTATTAATATCATCGTTCTAGGTAATGTTGCGTGTGTCAACGAGAAACAGTTTACTTCAACGAACTGAAAAAAAGATAATATATTTTTATTAATAGTTAAACACTTTAACTAACATTGATAATACGTTAAAAGTAAATACGTGTTAGGTTATGTGTAATTAGTTATAAATAATCGAATCAACATCAAATAAAATTAGGAATTATCATCATTGAATCTCTTCCTACCATTAATATTTATTCCTAATAATTTAATTTTTAAACAAATAGAACAGGTATATAATATATAATCAAATCGTAGATTTTAATTGGTCTATAATATTTTATATAGATAATTCTTAGAATAGAGATGGCGGTAGACGCATAAAAGACGATTTATAAGAAACTGCGAATCATAATCACTGTGGAGAACAACTCGAATACGTAAGTAGTAAATACTACTTACTGACTTATACGTTAGTGTGTTTAAGTTCGGTTGGCCTCGGTATTAATCGGAAAGTATCGTTTTCCACGAGGATTAACATTTCTTAGTGTGGCAACTTTTGAAAAATCTTACCGAATAAGAGACAGAACAGACTACTCTAAAAAAAGATAATGGGACTTTTATCTGAAGGAAGTCCACTTAATTGGGAAGAAACGAAAAAATTATCCGATCATGTTAGGAAACATGGGATAATACAATTCATTAATTTATACAAAAAACTCAGAGACAGACAAGGTGATGTGCTCAAATGGGGCGATGAGGTACGCAAAATCAATTCTTAGAACCTTTTTCCTTTTTTTCCTTTTTACTATTATTTCTGTTTCTATCTAACTCAAGAATACTTCGAATACTTTTAATGGTTAACATTTTTGCTTAGTCATTCTTCATGTGTTAATTCATTATTATTTTCCTTCTATCTTTTTCATGAGTAATTATTTCTACAGTTATCTTGTAAATAAATCGCGATGATGTGACATTAATTATTTTCATCATTGTAATATGATTATTCGATAAGAATCGATAAGGATTAAGACAGCAATGCCAATTATTTGCAATTTTTTACTTTTTTCGTGATATTAAAAGATGCGATCTGATATTTAGATTACATGAGATGTAATTAATTGTATCATATTTTTTAACTTTATTATTTGAGTCACAAATTAACTATCACTTAATTGTTGTCTTACCCAAGCTAATAGAGATAACATGATAAAGATTGCACAAAGTGATGGCATTATGATGTTGTACAATCATGTTTTGTTAAAAAAATGAATTTTATGAAATAACTTTGATGAGAAGGAATTAATGACAAATGAATCACACTTTTGAATTTAATCATATTGTGTAATAATATTTTATAATATTATCACAAACTTAATGTTTACATTCTATAAGAATCATCAAATTATCCACATATATAGTTAAATTTAATCAATATTTATTTATTGATTATAGTCAAAATTAATTATATTTTATACAGGTAGAATATGTATTAGTAAAAATTGATGATACAGCAAAAACAGCAAAGCTTAGTTTAAGAGCAGAAGAAATATTAAAAATTTTAAATGAAAAAGAACAGAAAGATCCATTGTAAGTACTATCTTTTTTTAATTATCGATTAATACAAAATTTCGATTAAATGTTTTATTGTTTTATTAAATAGAAATGTTAAATCGTTATGGCGACCAGAATATGGTGCATATATGATCGAAGGAACGCCAGGAAAACCATATGGAGGTTTATTAGCACATTTTAATGTTGTCGAAGCAAATATGCGTTATCGTAGACAGGAAGCGACAAAATTATTAAAACCTGGAGAAGTATTAATGTCATTGACCAATTTTCCAAGGTATTCGAATTAATTTCACAGTTAATCACATTTTAAGTGCATAAAAAGTGCACATATGCATTATATACAATTATTTTAAAGCTCTCCAAAATATACGGGCTGTGGAAGCGTATTGGCTGCGTAGAGTGCCATATGCAATTAATTAAATACATTACTCAAAATCATTAACATTTATCAATGTTTTTAAATCGATTTAAATGCAAACTCTTAAATATTTAAAAATCACAACGAATAAACTTATTCCACTTCATAAAAGAACGGCTCATATATTTATTTATATATATATATTCTATTTATTTTATATATTCAATTTATGTATTTTTATATCTATGCAATATATATACTTTAGGCTAGGAGCATCAGATTTTACAGACCCTCCAGTTGTGCCCACGCCAAATGCTGGTGCCTCCAGAAGTTTGTTCTTTCCAGACGAAGCAATATTCCCTGGACACCCACGTTTCAAAACATTAACAAAAAATATTAGAGAACGTCGAGGAGAAAAAGTTTCTATAAACATTCCTAGTGTGTATTTTGATAAATATTATATTAATAGATATATATGAATTTTTTATTTATATTATCATAGGGAAATTTATTATTTAAAGTATTTATTTAAAGTATTTTTTTTTTTAGTTTTCAAAGATACAAATGTTCCTTCTCCGTTTAAAGAAGATTTCATAAGTCAAGACAACGATGGATCCAGTAATAAAGCAGCAAAAGTAGATCATGTTTATATGGATGCTATGGGCTTTGGAATGGGATGCTGTTGTTTACAGCTTACTTTTCAAGCTTGTAATATAGATGAAGGACGAACGTTATATGATCAACTAACACCATTGTGTCCAATCATGGTTAGTAATCCAATGTCATTAGTTATCGTATTTCAAATAAAAGAAATTTGAGTTAGAATACTTGTTCGTGCATGCTTTACAGACATTTGTTTAACATTCGACAGTTGGCTTTAACTGCTGCTAGCCCATTTTATCGTGGATATGTAACAGATGTTGATTGTCGATGGAATGTCATTTCTTGCTCAGTTGACTGCAGAACACAAGAAGAACGTGGTTTGAAACCTTTAAAAGAAAATCAATTCAGAATTCACAAATCTAGATATGATTCTATCGATTCATACCTCAGCGAACAAGGAGATAAATATAATGATGTTCCACTGATATATGACACTGAGATATACAAGCAATTAATAGATAATGGTATTGATAGGTTACTTGCTCAACATATAGCTCATCTGTTTATCAGGGATTCTGTATCTTTATTTTCGGAAAAAATACATCAAAATGATTTAGAAGATACCGATCATTTTGAAGTAAGTAAACGACATTAATCAATTACTTAAAAATCTTCATGTTTTTTGTTTAATTTTTAATATTACATAAATAACTTTATAGAATATTCAATCAACCAATTGGCAAACAATGCGATTCAAACCACCACCTCCATATTCTTCAATAGGATGGCGTGTTGAATTTCGACCATGCGAAGTACAAATAACAGATTTCGAAAATGCAGCTATTGTTTGTTTTATCGTACTGCTAACGAGAGTTATACTCAGTTACAAATTAAATTTACTTATACCAATTAGTAAAGTTGATCAAAACATGGCTAAGGCACAAAAAAGGAATGCTGTTCAAAATGAAAAGTTTTGGTTTCGTAAAGATATAACATCAAATACTGCAAAAAAAGAAAATATAGAAGAGGAGTATGATAAATTTACCATTAATGAAATTATTAATGGCAAGGTACTTAATTCAAAAAATCATTAAGTTCAACGCTTAGATTTTATGTAAAATATGTATATATTTACAGAATGGTGTTTTTCCTGGATTAATACCATTAGTTAATTCTTATCTTGCCAATATGGATGTAGATGCCGATACACATTGTACAGTACAAAGATATATGAAATTAATTCAAAGACGTGCATCTGGCGAACTTCTAACAACAGCTGCATGGCTTCGAAAAGAAGTAACATCACATCCAGAATACAAGTTAGTTATTTCTATTTTTTTTATTATTTTTAGTATCGAAGTAATAATATTATTAACACTTTGTATAAAAATTATATAATATATTAATGCTAAATCTATATCTATGATACAGACATGATTCTGTCATAACACAACGTATCAACTACGACTTAATGAAAAAGATAGATAGTATTGTATCCAATGAAGTTTCTTGCCCAGAATTACTTGGACCATGCATAGCATCTAAAACAACTGAAACAATACCGCCAGCTGTTGCTAAAGCAGAAAAATGCCCGAACATGGATTGTTAATAACAGTATTTTTACTATGATCCAATTTCTTGCAGGTATAATTATAAACTTTATAATTTATTTTATTCTAGATATACGTTGTACGTATGTCATTTAATGTCTATATTTAAAAAAAAGAAAAAAACAGATTTGCTTTTAATTCTTTGGAATTTTGTTTCGTTTATATTTATATTATTATAATTTACATTCCATAAAAAATGTATTGAGAGTTTTAAGAAAATAATTGAAATATATATTATCAGTATTTTTAAATGAAACAAGTTTCTTTGTATAATTAAATATGTACTGTTATATTTGCTTTCTTTTGTTTCTTACATAATAAGACAGTGGTGCTGAATAAACATAACAAAATAAGATTTTTTAAATTAACAAATTTTCAAGAATTCTTATGATATGTAGTTGTACCGCAAAATATTGAATATTCAATAAAAAGTACTTGTTAATTATTAGAAGTTTTATATATATATATATATATTTTAACAGAAACATGATTAAAAATCTTGAAAATTATTGAATTAATCTTTTTTTGTTAAGCTAAAATCCAAGTTTTTGGTAAAATTTGGAAATTTCAAATCAGTATTCTTTAAATTTTCTGTAATCCATTGATTTGCTTGATTTTCTAATTCTGGTGTAAAAAAGTCCTTCCAACCACCACTTAATCCTCGTCTGACAAAAGATTCTCTTTCTAATATATTACATTCTCTTAATTCTGTTAAATTAACCATTGGGTTTATACGGAAATTTTTAATATCCAAGTACATTGCAAGTTCATTTATTTCATCATCGCTGTATTCTTTACCTAAGAATTTTGCAATTTTCTTAATAGCTTTCGGTAAATTCTAAACAAAAATATATATAGTAAATATATATTAAATATTATATTATATTACATAATAAAATAAAACAAAGTGTAAATATATTTTTAAAATATCGTATACATACTTCATACATTTCTTCATAAAACATAAATAAAACATTAGGGTGATCTTTCAATGCCCAAGCTTCTTTTATATGTTCCCAATATGGACTCCATGGAGCTATATATTTATGAAAAATTCTATTAGTTATATGATACCAATTAATTAATCGGAAAGATAATATTTTTATATAAGCGATACCTACTTTGATTATTTTGGAAATAATTCCAAAATTGTTCGAATGTTCCTATATATGCCTGTGTTTTGATGTCCTTATTCAAATGATACCAAGATACACCTACATCCTTAGGATTTCTTGCCACATAAATTATCTAAAAATAAAATTAAAATTTTTATTTATACGATATATAATAGATATATTTGAAGATGTTTGAATAGAATAGAAGAAAAAAATTAAAAAAAATAAAAAAACTATTTTACTTTAGCACCAGATTCCAAAACAGTAGGTAATAAACTAAATGGAAAGTGTGTCTTAATAAATCTTCGTGAAGACATTTTTTCCAAAGATTCATATCCAGGTATTGTTAATGATCTGCATAATTCCTCTTTAGCTAAATCACCTTTATTCATTTCTAGAAATTCATTTGAAACCTCAGGGTGGTTGAACATGCTAAATCTATAATATAAAATTCAAATATAAATTATTGTACGAATATACATATGTTTATATATATTTATGCAGTTTTAATAAGAAAGATAAATTTCAAATAATTTTTTTTTATTTAATAAAAACAGACATTCTTACTCTAAAAATGGAAATCTTTCAGAAAGATATTTAGTTTTAGCTGTATCATAATCCAAATTGTTGCTTAACAACCAAACCAGCTCTTGAGTTAACGTAGTTCCTAAAGTTGAGATATGAAAATTATCAGCTATGAGAAGATGAGAGACACAAAATTATCGTTTACTAGAAAGGAACTTGATAAAGAAAAAAAACCAAAGATCAAAAAGATCTGTTTCATTTAATTTCATCTATATAGAATAATAAAAATATATATATAGGGTATTTCAAAATATGCGGGCGTAACTTCAGGGATGCTTTCAGTACGCTAAAATGAGAATAACAATTCATAGAATCATTTGTTCGATATGATTTTATTTCTGAATAATAGTTGTTTTTGTCTTTCAGTAATTTATTCTTATTAACTTTACTAACTGCTTGCTTCAATTGTGATTAGTTACAAGTACGCTTCTTATCTTAAGTACGACTTTCTTGTCTGTTATGTAAATATTATTTTTTTATGATAAGATATTGGAAATTATTATGCATTAATAACTGCATTTGCAATTATTTTTTCATGCACATTTTATCAGTGTATTTTACGTCCAGGAAACAAACAAAAATGTTTTATAAAGATAAGTCATTTGAAGGTTTATTAAAACATTATAACATAAAAATCGAAATAAGAGTTAAAAAGAAATAAATTTAGATATATAATCACGAAAATACCAGTATAAATTTGATATTTATGTTCTGTAATTTAATTAAATGTACAAATGATTTAAAAAATATATTATGCTATGATAGAGCATCTAGATAACAAAAATACAAAAAATAAAAACACATCTTTTAATATGCAGCCGTTAGGTATTTCCTGTTGGGGAAAAAGGGTAAATCGTATCGTGAAATTCAAATCTTAAAACATAGTAAAAATACATAGCGAACATCATATATATATGTATAAAAATGAAGATATAATTAATTTTATTCATCAAAGTGGATGTCCGCGAATTTTAAATCTTCGCGATTAGCGTAACATTATTAGAAAAATTAAAAAAAAATCATAGACAATGCACCACAAATAGTAATAATGCTATAAGGAAGAAAGTGATATCACTGTACATCCGGAAAACGTGCGAAAAGTGTTGCGTGCAGAAAATTACAATGGGCGGATAACCAGGAGAAAACCGTATATTAATGTAATAAACAGGAAAAAGAAACTTCGGTTTGTTAAAACTTTCATTTCTAAAGAAAATGGTAGGTGGAATAATATTATTTTTCCGATGAAAGGAAATTTGATGTTTATGGAGATGATGGAAGAATGAGAGTATGGAAAATTACAGAACATAAATATTAAATCTATTCTAGTGTCTGAATATTTTTGTGACTAACTGTATATTTAGTCACAAAAGTTTGATAATTTTCTACCTTGAGCCATTTTTAATTTCATTTATCATTGGAATACCAAGAAAACATTTGATCTTTTAAGAAATCGTAAATTTATTTAAACTGATACTTATTTAAAAAGACATACACATATACAAAAATAAATAGTTATTTACCTGATCTTGGATATGTAATTACCCAAATATCACTAGATCTTGCTTTAAAATTATAAAATCCTTCTCCTTCTTCTGTATATTTATATGGAAAGAAATATTTCTTCGAGCCAACCAACACCCAACCGGTTCTCTCACCTTTGAATAATTGTAACATTTCTTTTGTTTTTTCTGGGTTTAATAACTCGTATTTGGGTGGTGTTAATTTATTCATTGTGTCAATTATTATTGTATAATATCTTTTTCAAAAGTTCAAAACCAAATATACTAATAAAAACTCGTTAACTGTAACATATAATAAAAATACTAGTTAACAGCCATTTTGCAGCTGACGTATCATACATCAATTATTACGTAGTTTCTTGTGTAAAATCGAAATTTACTATTGAAATTTTGCTAGCACATTAGATTTTTAAGTAATTTAGATTTTTAGATATTTTATTAATCAGTAATGCCATTAAATTTTTCAAAAAATCTAATATTGTTTCTGGTTTAAAATGCTTCTTAGAGTATTGAAATACAGTGAAAGAAGTGTCACAGAGTCCCTCTACTCCTACTCCCATGCAGCACGTCCTGAGCTATGTAAAACTTTAAACGCTTATATTTAAGAACTATATTTCTTGAAATTGCTGAACAGAAAACAACCACAGTTTATGAATAATTTATTTAAAATTTATATAGGAGATATATAAATGTGTAGGATTTTTTATGATCTAGTAAACGTTTTGAAGTAAAACTTTTTAGATAATGATAACAATATAATTTTATGAAATGATATGAAAAGGGGACGACTATAAAGATAAGGAAATAGAATATATAAGTAGGGATATTGAGTATAGAAATAGAGAGAGATAGAACATAAAGAATGATATAGTATCTATAGTTGATAAAAAATTGAACGCGAAATTATGAAAGGTTCTAATGTTAGAATTGTTTGTAATTGTTTGCTTGAAATTTTCATCTAATAAAATATTAGATCGAAATTGTGTAATATTCCAAGTATATTAATATATATGTAATTTTGAAACAAATATATTTTGTATTATTCTTATCTTGAATAAATATTAAATTGATTTTGATACTAAAGAACATTTAAATAACAATAAAAACAAAGAATGACCAATTATTAGACATGAAAAGATCGGGTATTCCCTCTGTTATATCAACATGTAAGATTATAAGATACGGTCGTTTTTTGTACATTATTTTCGTATTTGTTTAATTCGCTTATTATAAATAAAGTTTTCCAGTTAAACTCGTAAAATAAATAATTAAAAAGTATATAAATGTATATATTCTTAAATTTTCTTTATCCTAAAACACACTATATCAACAATTTTCAAGCAGAAATCTAGTAAGCATGACGGTGTACAATTTTAAGGAACATTTACTGTATATTTCAATCAATTATTCTCCATATGATAATATGAATGTTACTTTTATCGCACGCGAATTATTTCTTTTTTTTTTATGAACAATTTTGCCTATAATTTTACGTTATCGTGCACTCTATTTCGACAAAAAAATATTTTTTAAAAATCTTACGCTCTTCAATAGATAATCTTTTTTACAATTGAGAAATATATATCTTTTGTCTCTACATCTAAATAATTGAAAGAGAAATATGTCTTATAGCATAACACTAATTATACCAATGTTCATCAATAGTGTTTTTTTAAAATTATGCTGTCTATATACAGGATCTTTCGCCTAACTCTACCACCTAAAATATCTCGTTTATTTCGTACGATAGAAAAAAATGTAAGAGGAAAAAATATTCTGTTTGAAGGCGCCGATATATAGTGATGGAGGTTGAATGTTTTTTTCTAGATCATTTTTTTCGAGATATCAAGGTCACCATATTTTTTTTAAATGGGACTGCATATTTATACTTGAATATTCTATTGTACGAAATAAACGAGACATTTTAGGTGGTCGAGAATTAAACGAAAGACCCTGTATACTGTGACCTTATAGGAAAAAACTGATTTTTCCATTGAATTCTGCAACTAAAAATTAAGTAAATTTGCATATTTATTAGACGTGCCCCAAAATTTTATTAGATAATTAATGGTTTCTTCCACTAAATTCATCACCCCAAAATTAGCATAGATCGTATATTTCAAATTATTTACAGAAAAAAAGTTGAAATTAATTTATTGATATTAAAAATTTTTGAAAATAAATGTCTGAACAAATTACACAAATATTATTAGTCTAATTTGGTACAGTAATACTCACTTTATATAATTATATTATTTGAGTAACTATATGTGCTTCAATTAAGATGCATACACGTTGCTTAAGAAGACTGAAAATAAACGAAGAAATACTATAAACAATACATGCGTCCGCTCGTCACAAGTTTAAATGATAAACTAGTGAGATATGGGTTGCCATTAGACTTGGAAAATAAAGTTTGGGTAGGGATTTAGGCCAAATATAAAGCTTTCACCTTTAACAACTGTGTAATACGCTTTCACCATTAAATTATAATATGTCAATAAAAATACATTATAATAGAATTCTAAAAAACTATTGGTATTTTTTTAAACACAATGATTACATAGATAGAGATTGAGATGTAAAAAAAAGAAAGAAATTGATATAAAGGATAAAATATATATTTATTAAATCATCATCATCATCATCATCATTAACCATTTTGTACTATAATAATACAGAATTATATAAATATATGTTATATTCGTATAATTATAATTATGATATTATTAAGATAACAGTCTTATGTTTTTTTCTTTAAATCTAATAGTTTGTAGGAATTCCATTACTTTTTTATTTTTTAATATACTTAAAAATTTATTAAAAATAATCAGTCTTATCGTGTTGCATTTCAATTAAGTATAAACATGCTCTTGGTTATAGCTGTTTTTGGCAAATACGTTATCTATGTGTTTCATCCAATTTTATGTAACCTGAACAACATAATCATAAAAAGAAAATTAATTCATAAGATAACTCTTGTTACGTTTAATTATTAAAATCGTACTAAATTTCTAAATTTAAAATATTTATATAAATTTTTGTATAATTATACTATTCTTCATATAAAAAAGCAGTTAAAAAACTTTGTAAAATAACTGTAACAACATTAACAACCAAAGAATATCTGTTATAATTTACTTTTCTTAAATATTACTGCCCTTTTTATGGGTTTGAGGAACTTTTTATATCTTTCCATATAGGCTGTCTTGCAATCTTTCTGGAATTCCAAACTCCGTGAAGCACACGGAGTTTCAAAGCAGTCAATCATCCAAGTACTAACTGTGCTCACTATTGCTTAACTTTAGTAATTTTATGGAAACAACTTTTTCCAATTAAGTGAGACTATTGACTTAAACCTTTTAATTAAATTATAATTTAATTTTTAAATGTGAGGAATTCTTTCTCGTAGACCAGGAATTATTGTATAAATTCACAACGTATTTGGAAGATATATAAATAAAAAGAGAAAATAAGAAAAAAACATTAAAAAATTAAAAAAAAAATTAAAAACGATCCGATGTGAGAACGTTTTGGATCACAGTACTTTCTTCTTGTCTAATATCATACGCATTCTCAGTCAATAATCCAGGTAACTGGATCCCTTTATCCAAATTTCTTATCGTATCATTATTTTGTATATTTTCATTATATACACATTGACTATTGTTCTGTTGATTTATAATTTTTTTTTCAATAATATCTTCAGGTATCACATTAGTATCAGTCTCTTTAGAAATTAAGGATTCGTTACTCTTAACTGCAATCATAGTTGTGTCAGGAGTAACTTCATCAATAATATTTTTTGTATATATAGTTCTTTCCTTTTTGTTTAAAAGATCTTTCAACTCAGGGTTGCTTAAAAAGATTTTACACCGTTTAGTATGCATTTTCATGTTATCTCGACGATTGAAAGAATTATCACAACCAGGGCAGTGGTATCTAAAATAAGTAATAATTAAAATGTAATTATTATTATACATCGGTTTACAATTTGTTAAAGAAAAAAAAAATATTATCTTTATTATATTTACTTTATATTACTATGTACTGCCTTATGTGTATCAAGATGCGACTTTTGGGCAAAAGATTTACTACAAATCTCACATTTGTATTTTCTAATGCCTTTGTGTTTTAAGAGATGTTCTTTTAATATATGTCTACTTCTGTATACATTAGAACATAAATGGCATTCATATTTAGCAGGTGAGTGAACCTATAAAATAAAAATTAATAATTTAAATAATTAATGAAATAACTAGACGTTTTAAGAAAAGCCTATAAAAGAAAATTTTATTATACACTTCAACTAATTGTTTTATGTTCATAAAATAGCATTATGGATATAAAATAATAGCTAGTTATTTCATGAATAAACGGAGTTCACGCTTTAACAGTAACGTATATGTAAAGTTTCCATACATTGTGTACACTTATATAGACATTTATTTAATAAAATAAATATATTTATAGAATAATGACTTACATTCTTATGATTCAACAATGTTTTCCTGGATTTTAAACTTTTTTTGCAAATATCACATACATATTGATGTGTATGAATATTCTTTATATGCCTTTCTAATGCCGTTTCACTAGATAAATACACACAGCAAAACTTACAAACCACAAGATTATCTTTATTATGAGTAAGCATATGAGTTCGCATTTTCGCTTTTGATTTAAAATCTTTTTCACAAACAGAGCAATGTATATCCTATAATTGATAATAAAAAAATTATAAAGAATTAGATAAATATAAATATATGTACAATGACTCTCAAAAATATTTGATCATCAAATATGACTAATTCATTTTAAATTTCATCATATAGGATAAAACTCAATTACAGCAAATTAGTATTATTATTTCGACTACAGTAATGAATTTTTTTGTTTGATTTTTTGATATAGTACACTCTGTAATTAAGTTTTGATATATTTTAATTTTATCTTTACTTGCTTATGAGTTGTTTTATGAGAATCCAATATTTGACATAAATTCACAAACCTTATGCTTGAATGGATGGACACTTTTATGAGTATTTAAATGTTCTGCCAATTGAACTGCAGCAACATATTTTTTTCCACACGTATTACACCCGAAAGGTTTGATTCTTAAATGACGTTTTCTAATGTGACAACGTACATTACTTATAGTACCAGTTGCAAAATCACAAATCTTACATTTATATGGTTTCATATTTAAATGAGACCAAACATGAACCTAAAAGTACGAATCATATGCAATTAGAAATATTTTAATTTCTTTTTCGAATATATTACTTTAATGAGTAATGCTATCTAGTAAGAAATTACTTTCACTTATTTATTTAGAATAATCTAAAACTTAAATTCCATAATATATATACCTTACATTTATCCAATCTATGAAATAATATTGAACAAATATTACATTTAATATTATTTTTATCATTAATCGTTAGATTTTTTTCGACAATTTCAGAGTCAACAACTGTCATATCTTTTTCATAATATGTCTCAATTTCTTTTTTCTGCTCATCACTTATCAAATCGGATATTTTACTCAATTTTTTGTTTCTCTTATATCGTTCATTGGAATTTTTTTGAAGTTCTAATTGTTTAGATGTTTCTTGGATAATATCCATTTTGCAATTATTTTTTATTACTTTTGTCGGTAATTGAACTTCATTAAATACTTCTGTTTGAAATTGAACCTTAAAAGATTTATTTTTTACAAAGTGAGAAGTAGAAACAATTTTGGATGTATGAGTATAATTCATTGTTGAATTAGCAGTAACTTGTTCATTTGATTCTGCTTCGTCTCCAAGTGAAGGATTTGTATTTGATACAGTCTTATTCATTTCAGTTTTCATTATACATGCCTCTTGTGATAATACGTCACTCGAAATCGAAAGAAGTTGATTTGATTTTGAAACTTGCATTTTATGTGATATAACATAATCAGAATTTTCTTTTTTTATATTAATCATATTACTTTTAATTAAAGAGCATTTTATGTTTTTGGTTTTTACTTCACACATACTTTTATTACTCGAATTTTTTTCATTACTATCATGAATTCTATTGAATACTTCTTTTGCTCTATCTGAATGGATAGATTGATCATTATTGATACAGAATTCTTTGGGAGAGTCTTTAGTATTAGACATAGATGCTTTGATTTCATTGAAATCATTAGATTGTATTATTCTTGACTCATTTACATTTGTAGATCTTTCAAGATCAGTGTAATTAACTAAGGATCTATCAACACAAATTCTTCGTTTTTTTTTTGTAATCGAAGAAGAATGGGCTACCTGATAAGCAACACTTCTTGTTTTTCTTAATGATAATTTTCTTGATACTTTTTGTTGATTAGTTTGTTCAGTCGTTTTAGTTATTATTTCAGATTGGTTACTTAATGAACTTTCACTTATTTTGGAATCTACCAAAGATATTTCAGGAATTTTGGTAAATAATTCTTCACCCGAAAAAGAAATTTTCTCTGATTCTATAACGTTTTTGCATTTCTTTTTAAGGGAGGATTTATTCATTTCACTTATATTTGATTGTTTGGCCGTAATTAAACTATTATTTGATCTACATTTTCTAGAAGAAGGAACAGTATTTTCTTTGTCAAATTCGGCGTCATTTTGCGTGTAATCTACGTTGTTTTTATCGTTTACAATTTCAGTTTGCTAAAAAAAAAAAATAAATATTTATAATTGATTTTAATTAAAAACTAGTCGAAATAATAAGCAAATTAAATTTCTAACTTTAGATAAAAAGCGTTGTTGAATATCATGACAACACTCATAAAAATCGCAAAAATATTCCACCTGTGCTACGCAAACTAGGCATACTATATGTGGTAATCCATCATCTGGTTGAATCTGAAACATTTGAAAAAAACTTTACTTAATTTTAAGTTATTATATCTTATTTCCAAATTAAGGTATGTTGCAAATTTTACCGTTTCTAACAAGTAATTAATGCTCAATAATGTCTATCTATTTTTTAATTTGGTATAAAAAAATTACAATCATAACTTATTGTTAACTGCACCCATTATATTTAATCATCAAATTTCACATTAGCGAAAAAATATTTCATTCACAATTGTTGAGTGCGTATCGTTCATACGATTAGCTTCAGCAGGAAGTATTCAGAGCTCAAAGCATTAATACGTACAATGTAATTCATTTGTAAAATTGGATAATTTATTATTTCATATAAAATGTCATTTTCTTTTGCAAATAATTGCAAGAGGCATATATAAAAAATGAACAAATGTCTTAGACCCCAAAATATTACATCTTTATTACGACAGCCATGGAATTGAGAAATATTTTTATTGGCCAAAAAGAAAAAAAAATAAGAAAAATATAGAAGAGTCACTATTTTCTACTTAGCATCGTTAAAAATATTCTTATTTATATCAATAATATATATATATATATATATATATATATATTTTTACATTAGACTAAAGTACAACATATTCTTCTCAAAAAATAGTTCAAGTTATATAAACATTTTATAAAATAGAAATTATTTTGTATATATCACTGAAATAGTTTCGGAGAATTACTTTATATATATATATATACGTATCTTTCTTACAAGCGAAAAATGATACCATATTACACAAAGATACATATAGCTACTTCTTCATTTTTTTCTTTAAGAAACATTAATAGTCTATTATTTTTTTTTCTTATAGTAACATTAGCAAAAATATTAATCAAAATATAATTTCAAATTTGAGAGTAATATCTCATTAAATATCACTTTCTTACATTTGTATTGATTATCTTTTTAAATCTACGACCATACATTTTAATAAGAAATTCTCGATTAAGGCACTTCAATTTCATTGTGTCTTTCCTCATATAAGAAATTTATACATTATTTCATTTTTACATGTATAATTCTAGAGCAGCTCATCATGTTTTGGTATAATAATTCGTATGTAATAAAATATATCCAAAAATATAGTATATACGGACTATATATTTTTTTTATGAAGACTTCAAAAATTGGAAGTTTTCTGAAATACTCTAATAATCTGTGTAAAAATATATAGAAAATCCTTTCACCCCCTTTTCCCCTTTGGTCTGCTCTACTTTAATATTTAGAGTATTTTGTTTTTTGGAAGCCCTCTATATACTATACATTCTCAAGATTCTGAACACATTGCGTAGTGTTGTAAAAAAGAATATTAGTGCGTAATCAATATAATCTTTGGAAACAAATTTCTATTGTGTTTCTTTTGCCATTATAAGAGTAAAAGTTTTTACTATTAAACTTTACGTGTATGGTCCAAATATTAATAATAAACATAATTTACTGAACTTCCTCATATTACATTGAAATATGCAATTGTTTCAAACAATTTTTCTTTTTTTTTATTTTTCATTGAAGAACTGTCGCTAATATATGCAGTAATCCCTCTAAATTCCATCTCTCCCTCATAAATTCACATTAAATAAGCTTAAATTACCAGAGTCCATGTCACCACGATACATTATATGAAAACCTAGGATTCCTCGGTATAGTTTATTTCATAATCGCGTAAACTTACTTTTCTATCCCAATAAAAGCTAAATACATATTTGAGAATATAGAATAAATCCTTATTTCAAAAAACTTTTCAAAGTTTCATTTAAGCACTGTTTTTGTGGAACCAATTATCCACATAAATATAGGGATTACTGTATCATACTTTTATTATAAACGAATACTTACAAAACAAATTTTGGTGATAATAAAGATCATTTACTCAATAATAATAATATTAGAATTAAAATAAATTAAAAATAAAGAAATTTATTATTATTATTATTATTATATTATTATTATTATTAGTATTATTATTATTATTATTATTATCTTTTATATACTTTTTGAAGTCCAGATTAAATCAGTCGTTATGCTATTCATCTATAAAATGCAATCTACATGACATAAAATTGATGCATAATTGATCTATTTATGATTTACGAAATGTCTAAATAGACAGTTAGGAAATATAGAAAAATATTATAAAAAAAAGATTGGACCATATACTACACTTAGCTTTTTCCTTTTTTCAATTAATACTGTAAAGCTCGTTGAAAATTACATTAAATTTATTGCATAATAGAAAAAAAATTATAGAAACAAAAAAGTTTCTTCTTCATTACATTAACGCAATTAATTTTATAAAAAATTGCAATATACGAATTAATTTTATTCTATAAATCATATTAAATGTGCCAATTCACTGTGCCAATTTTTTCTGTTATTTAATTTAGACCTTATAAATCTAACATCATTTTCATAGCAACTTCAATAAATTCATTCCTTTCGTTTTTTTCTATGCACACAAGTATTATTATATAAATGTATATATAATCAAATAAAAATGAAAAGAGAGTAATATTATACATATCAAATGCATATCTATAACATAATATACAAATAGTAATATGTAAAAGTAAAGAATAAAAGCTAAAATACGAAATAAAATCAATGTGACACATTTGTATCATTATAAAACAAAGCATACAAAGTTGATGATAATAATATTTAAGCAAAAGTAATAGTAGAAAAAAAAAAGTAAATTTCTAATACCTTCAACGATGTATACAGTATCCCTAATGTACCTCTAATATTTTCTCTCTTCCTCTTTCTTTTTCTTTTTTTCTCTCTCTCTCTATTTTTTATGTATACATTACTCTAATATTACAAAAACTTATTTTTATTCTTGACTATGACCTAAATGAGCTTCATATTAATATTTATGCATTTTATATACAAATACATATGTATGTATCAATCTCACATTTCATTATTCAAGTCTTCTAATTAACATTCTGTTTGGAAAATTCATGATGTATTTGTAAATGAATTTAAGTAATCAAATAATTATTATTACTTCTCATTCGATGCACTTAATGTTTCGTCAGTAGTGGAAATATTTTGTTTACTATCAGTCTTTTTTGATTCAAAATGTCTTTTTCTATGTACTTTCATATTGTCACGTCTATTAAACTTTCTTCCACATTCTGGACAAGCGTGTGTCTTTTCACCATGTACATGGCGATGAGCTGCAAGGTGACTTGCTTGTGCAAAAGTGGCTCCACATTTTTGGCAAACATGTTTCCTCAAACCTTCGTGTTTTAATAAGTGCTCGTTTAGGAATGCTTTTGATGCGTATCTATTATTGCAAATATTACATATAAAAGGTTTAGGATTGGAGTGTTGCAGTACATGAGCTTTATATTTAGATGCCACCTTAAACGTTTTACTACAAATTTCACAAGTGTACGTTGTTGCATGTCTCGTTTTTACATGTTCATTTAATACCGTCAAACTTGAATAAAGATTATAACAAAATCGACATCGAAAATTTCGACGATTTTTTAAATGAACACTGGCAATATGACTAAGTAAACGCGTACGATAAGGAAACACCTTACCACAATACTCGCAAGCCAAATTTTGTGGCGGTAAATGTGACTTTCTATGAATCTGTAAGGACACTTTATGGTGATAACTTTGCTCACATTCTGTACAACTGTAAGGTCGTATTCCTTTATGAACATTATCATGTTCAGTTAAATAAAATTTGGATTTAAATCTTTTTGGACACTTTGGACATTGTATTGGCCTAGGATTAGTATGCGAACATCTAATATGCTTCATTACATCAGATTTACAAACAAATTTCGCATTACAGAGAATACAAGTATATTGCTTAATTCCCAGGTGAGTTTTAACATGAACTGTGCATTTATCTTTTCGTTCATAAAACTTTTTACAAAGTTTGCAAACATATCCATTTTGATTGTCAGCCATAATGTGTTCTACATTATCATCTACGCGTATTTCTTCCCCATCAATCCTAAATAATTCTTCAGGATTTTGTGAATTTTCCAGTCTCTGTTCAAATTCTGTTAAGTCCTCTAACTTGATTGTATTACTTTTTGAGTTACCACTAATAATAGAACTAATTATACTATTTGCTTCGACACTGTTATGATTTTCAAGTAATTCTATGATAGAAGTATCTACTAAACACGAGCCTTGATCTGGGAACACTGTTGCTCGTACTGTAGCTATACTATCACACTTTTTTTTACACAATTCTACAGTAAAACTAATATCTTCTGCATCATTATGGCGATTTCTTGATTCTTTAACAGAAACTTCTATGTTTGGTGAACTTGAGACAATAGTAAGTAGTTTGTTCAGTGCTGTTGTTGGAATTTGAATAGTGTGAGAATCTTGTTGTTGTTTTCCACTCTGCTTTTCAACGTTCTCACTTGTATTATTGCGACAATTAACATTATTATCTGGAGAGATAGTGTTATTATGACTTCTTAAACGATTTGCAATTGGAGTATCAGATTCACTATCTGCACTATTCTGAGTAGTCGTTGCATCTGCACTTTGTCTACTTCTAAGCCAGCGTGTATGAGAAACTTCAGGATGGGGAATGGTCTGTGATTCTTCCACTTTCTGTTGATTATTATCTTCAGTATTTTGATATTTGGAGGTATCATTACTATCCTTGCATGCATGTTGATGACTTCTTAGATTTCTTTGCGGCTTTGTATGATTTTTAATAACACGTTGATCTTCTTCTTTTATAGTCTTGTTAGGCGAAGAATTAAGATTTTTGTCAATATTATTATTATTATTTGTCGATGTACTTGGTGCAGCATCTTCATTCTTTACTTCATCCTAGGAATAGATCGAATTAAACATAGATGGGTATCAGAAATCCGATCTAATGTAATTTTTATTATAATATCAATTTACTTTTTCATGCCTTCCTTGATAAGAACATATAAATAAATATATGTATTTGTAATATTATTATATTTTTTTCCACTTAATTTGCATACAATATACATATCAAAAGTTAATTTAAAAGAAAGCATGAAAAAGCTAATCTTATTTATAAAACCTGTACATCATTAAACTTCTAATATTTTGTTCAAATGTGAGGTAGATAAACAAGATTATGTATTTTAGTTGCATCCTAAGAGAGCGGTAGAGCAGTACATAAAATAAAATGCTCACTTACAATCTCTGTTAAGGGTGGTAGATTGTATCGATCGCGTAACACTTGTTGGGTGCGCAGACACTCCTCTTGAAAGTCACAAACGAATTCGAGTTTGCCCAGACATTGAAGACAGATCGCCTTGGGCAGAGGATCCTTTTCATCTATCTGTGATTTAAACAAAATGCCTAAGTACTAAAAACGTAATGTGCACTCTTGAGAAGGATCATGTTTTGACAAAGTTAAGAGTTTCACAATTAAGAAAATAAAATATAAACACTCTGGAATTTTTATAATTGTGTAAGGACAAAAAAATTGTATATATAAATATAAATATAAGTGTAAGCCTGAACCCTACCGCTCTACAGATACAACATTAGAGAAAAAAGAAAATATGGTACCCATTATATGTTTAAACGATGAAACCTTATCGTTATCATATTACGATAAAATATACTTATATCTATATATAATACACATTTATGTAGCATATGTACAGAGTGATAAAGAAAGGGATTCAATATTTGAAGGGCTTATACTACTCACAAAGACGAATAAAAAATGTCTAATTGATTAGAAATACACTAGTTCAAGGAATATGCGAAAGTATACATTAATCCATGATCCGTAGACGTCAGAATTGCATTCAAATGGAAAAAAAAAGATATATCGAAAATCTATAATTCATATATATTAGATCGTTAAGTAGGAAACATCTGATTACTTTCAGTCTGAAATGAAACATTTCATACTTAATGAACTAATATTATTTTTGCGTCTATGAAATAATCTTTGTTCATATTAGTAATAATATTTGCTTATTTACATAATAAACTTATCTTAACAACCTTGAACTAAAGTATTTTGAAGCAAACTCCTTAGCGTAAATTCAATATATTATCAAAAAATTTGTTTACAATATTGAACGTTCATAAATAATAAAAATAAATTTACAGCAAAAGAATTGATTTTAGGACCCATGTTAATTAAGCATTTTTCACTTGTCTCAGTGAGTACTATAAGCCCTTGAAATATCAAACCCCTTTTGCTTATCACCTTATATAATTTTATCCATTATTTGACTTAATACTAAAATTTATCAATAATGTAAAAGGTAATCTATCATACAAAAATAAATATTACTTAATTAAAAAAAATAGAATTATTTTATTTATTTGTTTATTTATTTATTAGCATAGAATTTGAATGCATAATGAATAAATTCAAATCCACCAAAATTATAATTAATAAAAATTATCTCGATTTAAACCATTATTTTAAATAGCATTAATAAATAATATATATGAAGATATACTATATTCATAATAAATTTTAATAACTTAAATTAGTGTGCCACACGCACGCGTGCCCGCGCGCACATACACCACACATCACACACACGTGTTGAAAAACCTCTCACGTTTTTCTACTTTACGGCCATTTTTCTAGTCCCCTTCTCCTAACCCTGAAGTAGCAATGAGGGCCCGGACCCCATAGCTTTGTACATAGATCGTTGCTCTTACCTTAAACATTACTTACCAAAATGTTGATTTTGGATTGTATTTTCGTGGCGAGTAACCTTTTCAATCCTTCTTCTCCAAACACATCGATAAACATTCTTTCATGTTGACCACATAGTCTGCATACTCGAGCTTCTTCTTTCTCCAACTCCATTTTTATTTAACTTTAAAGGTTGGCTGAATACGTTTCTGACTATTTAACAAGTTAGGAAAAACAACGCCAACTTTTCGATATTATTTATTTACCAATTATGCCGATCATTCGGCCTTTCTTTTTCTCTACTTCTCGATTGTTAATTTAATTCAATTCCACAATAACATTTTCATCGAATCTATTTAAAAATAAAAAATATAAAAAATAAAAATAAATAAATAAATAAAAAATTGAATTCTTACTGTTAACGTTACCATTTACCTTCTCTTAACTGCAGAGATGCGATCGCGCTTTGCAGAGTTTAGGTTCACCGCCCCTACTGTTCAGTTTGTTCCTTCTCTAAATACAAGTTCCTTTTCGATAAGAAGCGATGAAACGTGATTTCCATCTATTTTATTAGTCAAACGACTAGTGAGTTTTTTCATACTGACCAATCACGAAACCCAAGAAGAAAAGATGATATATAGAATTAATTGTATATATATTAACTGTCAAATTATTATTAATTATAATTATTATATAACATATCTATTAAAATAATAAGATTCAAATAAAATTATTTTTACTAACAAATATTTATATCATGTGAATTCGTTTGGATAAGTTTCTATTGGCTCTGATGGAAGGAAGAAATAAATTCTGATCGGGATTTTCTTTTTTTTACTTTGTTCCTATATACATACATCGCATTGCATACAGAATCTCGCAAAAAGAAAAATATGATATAAATGTGTGTGTGTTTTTAAGAACTAAATGATAATTATCTTGTATCGTATTTTTTTTTTCATCAAATGTGATTGGTTACTGTGTTTCTATAATAACGAGTCAGTGCCGTAACAAAAGTTGTACACCGAAAGGGCACCTACCCATCATGTTATATATATATAAATAATTAAAAAATATACAATATAGATGGCATAATTTACTTATGGCAATTTTTATTTTTATACTTATTTGGTGATATAAAAATAAAATGAAATAAAAGCAATATTATTGCTATTGTAATTTGAAACTATTTTATAACTTCTGAGTGAAAGACAGAGACTCATTACTTTATTGAGAATTATAGATATTTGGAAATACTTACATACATTTACAATACTTACATATGGATGATTGAGGCTAATTTTTTAATGTCATAATTGTAATATTAATGTAAGTAAAATGATATAAAAGAAATTTATATATATTCTGTATGTAATCTTTTTTCCATTTCAATATCAAATATTGAAATGTGTAAGTATTTTAGAAAATTTTTCTTTTTATTATTATTATATCATATTCTCTCTTTATTATTACAAATAATTTTATTTTATAAATATAGACATTACCACACGATTTGTCTATATACGATAATAATAATGAATATTATATTTATAGCAACAAATAATTAACTTGTTAAGTCTGAACACAAAGTAAAATGGCACGTAAAAAAATAAAATCGCAAACGCCTATGAAAAAATCAAATCGTAGAGCTGGAATTAAAAAACCAATAACAAAAAACAGGTTATTTGATAAAGGATTACAATTAATTAAAGCAAGGTATTTGTATATTATATTATGATACAAATTTTAAGTGAAAAAAATATTTATTTCTTTGATATTTTTTACAGTCGTAAGTCTGAAGTCAACAAAGCAACACTATTTCAACATAGTAAGAATATATCAACATCTTCAAATGACAGTGTAATCATTATAAGTGACAATGAAAATGAACATACCGAAAATGTTAAATGTGTGACTCAAAATAATAACAAAAATGAAATTATTCATTCAAGTATTGGTCAAATGTGTAAATCATTTAATTTTTTACGTAAAGCTAATAAACATACTATTTCTAATATGATTGCTAATAATATAGAAAATAGTAAATTAAGAAATAGAAATAATATTACAGAATTATCGAATCCTGATAAATCATGTTGTATAGTTTCAGAATCAAAAAATTTGAAATCTAAAGTTTTACGTAAAAGCTTTGCTAATCAAAGTACGTAGATCAATGAAATCATGATAGTAATAACGTCTTTAATAATAATTATACTTAATCAAATCTACTTTTTAATTTCAGAAACTTTACATAATACATTAAATGAATCTTCTGATGACATCGTTGTAGTATGGTCATCTATAACCAGTTCATCAACAGTAAAACCTATATCGGATAAAATAGACCAGGAAGATAACGTTTCAGATGAGGAAAACTCACATCGACTTTTTATGCTAGATTATTATGGAAATTCTAATAATTTAAACTGTTTAAAATCAACTTTAGAAAAAGAACAACAGAAAAAGAAATTTAATAACGAAGATAAACTTCTATTTAATAAACCTGGATTACAATTACCTGATTGTTTCAAGCCAAACTTTTCCATTACTGTAAAACCACAAAAAAATATGAAAAGGATTAGTGCAAAATTTTATGGTAAACAATTTAATAATTACAAGGTACAACCTAACAAAGTAACTGAAGTAACGCACACTAAAGATAAGAAATTAAGAGAAATAATTATTGATGGATGTAATGTCGCAATGGCGTAAGTAATATTAAATTTTATGTTCAAAATATTTTAATTGTATCTACAGAAAGTCATTTTTATTTTCTTAGATACACACATGGCAAAGTATTTTCAGAAATAGGATTGAAATTAGTGATAGACTATTTTCAACAAAGAGGACATTCTGTTAAGGTATTTGTACCTCAACATAAACGATCTTTTTCTCATCCGCTTCTTGAAAAACTTTGGAAGGAAGGAACAGTTGTTTTTACACCAAGTCGAAACATAGGTGGTAAAAATATTACTTCTTATGATGATCGGTAAGTTGTATGTGTAGATGTTTATACACTTTTATGTTCTCAATTTAGAGAAATCTTTTTATTGTATATAATAATATCTATTTAGGTTTATATTGGAATATGCAACAATCTGTAAAGGCATAGTTGTTTCTTTAGATCAATATAGAGATTTATACACAGAAAAACCAGAATGGCGTGATACTATAGAAAACAGATTATTAGCACCAACTTTTGTGGGAAATTATGTTATGTTTCCTGATGATCCGTTAGGAAGGGATGGTCCTACATTAGCTCAATTTCTGAGACATGATTCATAACATTTCTATCGATTAAGAATTTTGATACGTAAATACGAATACAAAACTGAAATGATTTATAAAATATTTCTTTTTTGTACTATTATTTTCTTATAAATTTTTCAATGAAAAGTAAATAAAATATTGTCTTATTGTTTTTATATGTGAGTCTCTTTGAAAAGTGTTTCAAAAAAAAGTTGCATAGTGTCTAAGGAAACACACAGTACTCTAATCTGTTTTTAATTATTTCTGATTAAATTTTTTATACAAAGTTTAAAAAATTAATAGTATAATAAATACACAATCAAAACGGGGCCTGTTGATTTTTTTTAATCATATATAATAAATATGTATGTTATAATAAAATAATTTTCAAGTTAAATTTCTGTAACTTAAAAAATCATGCATATATAATATATAAGACGAGTATCCAAAAAAGAAAACAAAGTCTTAATTAAAAAAAAGATCAGCAAAAATAAATTTATATATCTTTTATTATCAATTCCAAATTCTATCAAATGATTTTTTAATTTATAAAAGTTTAAGTAACAGAAATGTAATCATGTGTATATACATATAGATATTTGCTATTATATTATATTCTTATACAACATGTGTGTATATATTATTTATTTATGTATAATATTAAATTAAAAGTACAGTTCTAAAAAAAAAATGCAAAAAATTAGTTGTATTATGATAATAGCAGTCTTAAATCATATTATTATATATATTTATAAATATACCAATTCTTATAAATTAAGATTTATTCCATGTTGGTATCGAACACCATTTGCGGGATTTACGAACAAAATCCATACTTTCTTGTGCTGCTTCACGTGCCAGTCGTTGCATTACATTTTCATCACTTACATTTTGATGTGTATTTGACAAAACTGCTTCATGTTCAAAAGCTGAGCTTACAGCTGAAACGAAAAATTATTTTATATTTTATTATAAATATATGTAATAAAAAATAATAATAATAATAATATGTGTTTTATATTTTATTTAAAAATAAGTTTATAGTTTTAAAAATATGGTGATAATGATAATATATATATATATACAATGTTTTTTAAAATCTTACTTGAATTGGCAAATAATTTTTTTAACACATATTCGTCATCAGAAACTTGTGGAGATTCTTCTACATGTGATTTAATTAAACGTCTTCCTATCAAATAAGATACATGTTCGCCTTCAAATAAAGCAGAAATATTATGCTTTTCTGTGCGTGATTTCTTTTTTTTGTGATAATTTTTATTATAAAGATTATCATGCAATTTTGTTTCATTAATATTGTCAGTGAAACATTCAGTTTTCGCCTGAGATTTTAATTGACTAACTTCTGAAGTATCATCTTCTTTCACAGTTCTATCAGACAGAGATGTTTCTTTTTGTAAATGGTTTGGTTTGGAAATTGAATTCATATTAGAACTCGAATCAATTTTAAGATCATCTTTTTTTGTATTTTTATCATCAAGTTCTAATGTAATGCTACTGTATCGAGTACTTAAAATATTATTAATATTATTATTATTATTGTTATTACTGTGATTGGATAAAGTGCTAGTCACATTCAAATTTACATTAGCAGAATTAATTTCTTCTGATGCATTCAGATTATTTTCATTACTATGTAAATTATTAGTTTCTATTTTATTGGTAATGCTGATATTATCCTCCGGATCATCCGTTTTCTTTGTAAGATCATTTATTATCACTTGCTTACTTATATTTTTACTAAGAGTCGAAGCCAGTTTCTTCATTTTTTTAATCTTATTCGAAGAGAATTTTAATGAAGTGGGTATTAATTTAGAATCTTTAAACAAACGATCTGATTCAGAAGATTGTCCATTTACAGGTTCATTGAGATTAAATAGTTCTACTAAATCTGTTGTTTTAAAAATTTTTCTTTGTCTTGGATCATCCAAAACTTTATTCGAAAGCAATAATTTAAATATTTGTCTGTGATATATCTGTAAAAAAAAAAGAGTATTTTTAATATTAAAAAGAAAAAGACAATGCAAATATTGTGTTACCTTTTCTTCTATAGTACCAGCAGTAATAAGTCTGTAAATAGTAACATTTTTATTTTGTCCAATTCTCCAAGCACGTTCTCTCGCTTGTGCATCAGTTGCAGGATTCCAATCAGGATCATAAATAACTACACGATCTGCTCCAGTTAAATTTACACCTAGTCCTCCTACACGTGTTGTTAGTAGAAATATAAAATACGAGGTATTCTTTAAACATAAAAAAAATAATTTTGTTTATATTACTATCGACATCAAATATGAGAAAGAGAAAAAAATAAAATAAATTAATATATCTACATTATTAAAGGTGTAAATAGTTTCTTGACGTTGAGACATGGGTGTAGTACCATCCATTCTTAAATAAGAATGATTTTCTCGTTGTAATAAAGATTCTAAAATATGCATCATCTGTAAAAAAAATAAATTATTATTATTCTGTATAGAAATTTTCATAACTTACAATTAGATTGTTTGTAATAAATGCAATGTTTAAAAAATACAATAAAAGAGCACACAAACCTGCCTTCCTTGAGTAAATAACAATACTCTATGTCCTTGCTTTTTCCATATTTTAAGTAAAGATTGTACTACAACCATTTTTCCAGCACGTTTCCAGTATCCAAATTTCTCTAGGTCTTCTTCTATCAAATCAATATCTGCATCTGAATCCTCCATATATTTGTAAATATAAACGTTGTAATAATTTGATAAATTTCATATATTTCATAAATAAAATCATTAACTTCTATAATCTTACCATTTGATTTGTGTAAAGGTACAAGTCTGGATGATTGCATATTTTTCTAAGTGCAGACAAAGCTATCAACAAACGAGCTCTGTATCTCCCAGTTTCTTGGGGTGAACTTCTTTCGTGTAAAACAAATGATACATCCTCTGATAATAAATATTTTTTATATAATTTTCTCTGTTCATCTGTTAAAGTACAAAATAATATCTGAAACATATATAAAAATAATAATCTAATACTGAGAATATAATTATCTAATACAAATATTAATAAACATACTTGTTCATTTTTTTCCGGTAAGTTAAGATGACGTTGTACATTTGCTTTAGTTCTTCTAAGTAAATAAGGTGTTATAGCGTCCTTAAGCATAGTTGCTATTTGTAATGCTGTAGCTTGTTGAATAGATGTAGCATTGGTGTAACCACCACGAGTAATAGGTGCAGCACAATGCTCCAAGAACACAGGTAGTGTGCCCAACTTTCCGGGTAAGATAAAATCAAATAGAGACCATAATTCTTTTAATGAATTTTGCATTGGACTACCAGTTAATAGTAAACGATGTGGAGTAGAAAATGCCTTTACTGCTTTGCTTATCTATAAAAATTATATTTCATAATTTATTTATTTATTTGTCCAAAAAAATATCAACAAAGTTATACATTATTCACCTTTGCTTGCGGATTTCTTATTTTATGCCCCTCATCAAGAATTACGTAATGCCACTGAGTATTTGTAAGTAAATTGTTGTGCTTAAGCATACCTGAATACGATGTAACCAATATACCACCAGTTGTTAAGGAACTTATTAAACTCTCAGGATCTTCTAAGAATAAATAAAAGGATATTATTATTAAACAAAAATATACAACACCCACATATACACATAGATACATTTATATTTAATATATATATATATATATATATATATATAATATTGTTTATATTATAAAATTCTTACCATCATACGTTCCACAATGGTGTAGTACAGCAACTCTTAAAATAGGCCACCAGTCATGAAAATGTTTTACCCATTGCTCCATCAAAGTTGCTGGACAAATAATTAATGTTGGTCCCAGTCCTCTAAATCTATACACATTAATAGAAATTAAATATAAATCATTAAATGCAATTTTCTATTAATTTTATTATATAAATATTTACCTTTCTCCATCAGAAAGTAATTCACTACAATCTAAACCAGCTAGAAATGCAATAACTTGTATTGTTTTGCCTAATCCCATTTCATCTCCTAATAAACCACCTAAATTATGATTATGAAGTTCCCATAACCATTGGACAGAAACTTTCTGATATCTGTAGAAAAATTTAATAAATTATGTTTATTTATCTTTAAAAAAAAATAATATTTTTATTTTTGTTATTATTTTTATAATATTTTATATACTTATATAATCTTTTCCATATAGACTGAGGTACTTTAAATAGATTATCCACCATATGTACAGATTCATTTTTCATATTCTTATTTTTGTTTACTCTTTGTAAGTAAATCTGTTCATTCCCGTCATCTAATACTAAACATACAAACCGTATAAGAAAATAAAGAACGCATTACTCTGATATTATATTAATACATACTTTTCTTTGTACTGGTGCATTTGGATTTTGAACTATTACTATGTATCTTCTTAGAAGTAGTTCTTCTTTGTTCCATATCTAAATAATAACATATTACATATAATATTTGGTTGATCTTACATTAGTACTAAAATTAATAATTTATAAGTTCTATTTATGTACAGATTGTTGCGAAGCCACCCTCAGGGGTGGAATAGTTTTAAGGAATATTTTCCCACGAGCTAGAGAGCTCTTATAGTATTAATTACTGTTATGTTCTGTTGATTTTTTTTACTTATAAGATTATGTTAAGTTTTTTGTTATATATATATATATATAACTTACCAGAATCTCCTTCATCATCACTAGGAAAATATTCACTTCCAGAACGATTCATTTCATTATCAGACATCACATTGTCTTTTGCATCACATTTTATAGATATACATTCTTTCTTATTTGCATTAATAGAAGTACTAGCTAGATCTTTAACAGAATTTGTTTTCATTCGACTGGAACAAGATCTAGAATTATTATTTTTTGATTTAAATGGCTTATTAATTTCTATCTTCATTTTTTTTTTTGGTATGGAATTATTTTCTTCATTATTTAACGGTTTTGACATTTGTTTCAAAGTTCTCTTCTGTTTAGCAAATTCGGCTTGTCTTTGAAAATACGTTTGAAGATCCAATAAGTTAGATAATTTATCAGAAGATCTAGAAGAATATAAAAATTTCTTTTCTATTCAATATAATATTTAATTAGATATGATTGTGACATAAACATTTTATTTTACCCTTCTTCCACTTTTATATTATGCTTCTCAATTGCTTGAAATGGTGTAATTTCTCCAGTCTTAACTTGATCTTGTAACGATTCTTTATCATTGTTACTCTTAGTAATAGCTGTTTCAATATTATTGATTGATACATCGTCTTGAAATTTGGATTGATTTGGATGTAATTTAGATAATTCTTTGATCTCTTGTGATGCTTGTTGAAGAATACTTTCTTCGCTTCTCACCGATATAATCTATAATAATAGATAATATTTCATTGATTTAGAAAATACATACACTTACATTAACGCTTACATACTCATAAACTTGATACATAGTTGTAAACACAAATAAGATTACAATCACATGATTATTTAAAAACAATAAAATTAATAAATCAAAATAACGTCATTTTTATAATATAACAGCAACGGGTAATAATAATATTGATTTAAATCGATAATTGTATAAACGTAAGTATGAATTATTAGACATAAAAATTAAAAATATTTAATCTATAATTTGTAAAA